ATGGCCTGAAACTTCAGATTATAAGGAATGTGATGATTACAAATGTTTTACTATTTTTAGAGATTTTGAAAGTGCACTAAAAATGTCAATCATGATAAGAGATAACTAGAACAAGTTCCAAAAGAAAAAAAAGTCCTCTAACCACACACGCCAAAAAAACACAATGTACAACTCAACAGTATAACTTACCAAGCAGCAAATAATAGTGTGTGTGTGTTTCTTGCTAGCTTTGGAACAGTTCTACTTGAGAACTCTTATTTGAGGCACAAAATACAAACAAAAAGCTAAAGGCAAATACTAGGAGGCAATAAGAAGTTGACAGTTTCTAGGTCTCCAGATAGTAACAGAAGTGAAATTAGACTTTGGAATAAAGGTACTGGCCCTTAAATCGGGCATGGTGGTACATGCCTGTAATTCTAACCGTTTAGGAGGCAGAGGCAGGAGAACAGCAAGTGAGAGGTCAGGGCAAATTTGTGAGACCTCGTCTCAAAAAAACAAACAAAAAGGACTGGGAAAGTAACTTGGTCATGGAGCACTTGCTTAGCACATGCAAAGTTCTGGGCTCAATCTCCAATACCAAAAAGAAAAAACAATTATTAGGCCCTTCAAGGGACTCAAAATTTCTGCTTTATGGAAGCCAACCCTAGTCTTTCTTACAGCTAAACTCGTCTTAAGCATGATGGCTCTCACTGTGATCAGCTAATAAAGTCAACACCATTCCTCTCAGCCAAAAGAAAACCCCTGTTTGCCGGGAAATAAGCTAAACGTGTTTTCTAAAGAAATGGAATTTTCCTCAAGAAAAGTATAGAATAAACACCAGTTTTGTCCTCACATTTTCCTCCTAAAAATGTACCTACCTTCTCTATCTCAGTAAATGTCACCATTTTCCATCTACCCAGCTACTTCGAAAGCCAAGTCATCCCTGATTTCTTTTCTCCCTGGTCTCCCACCAAAAGACCCAGCAGTGCCACCTCCAGAACCAATCACAAATCACTGACTCCATCTCCCTGACTAACATCCCACCCAAGCTGCTGCCACCACCTCCCTCTCAACAACTCAGCAACTGTGACAGCCCACCTGGTAGTACTATTTCTACCTCTTGCCCTACACTCTTATTATCTCAAGACTAGAGGGTGCAATCTATGCAACACATAAAGCAGCTACATTCTTCCCCTACACAAAACTTCACAAAAGCTCACACTTTGTTGAAATAAAAAATCTATATTCATTTCATGGTTTTCAAAACATTGCCATTCTGGCTCCTGAAATCTTTCCTTTCTATTCCCAGCTCACCAGGCTGGATTCAGCTATCCAGCCCCTCCTGCTGTGCCTCATTATGCTCCCTAAACTGGTCTCTGGTGCTGCCTGGAATGACCTTTCCTCACAAGTGGCCTCATGGGTCCCCAGAGAGGCTCCCTCTGTATTTATCCTACGCCAGCCATTCCCTCCATCACATTACTCAGGCTTATTTCCTCCATAGCATTTGTGAGAATGTGATAGAAATTAATCTATGCTTTTATTATTTGTTGGTGCTCCCCAGTAAGATATACACTTCAGGAGAACAAGAATTTTATTTCACAGATTGCTAACATGTTTCAGAAGCCTAAACTATTACCTATCTGAACTTCAGAAAAGTTAACTCTCCAAGAAGGGTCCCAAGTGGGCCTAAAATTCCAACCGGAGCCCTTATTTGATGGGATGTTCCCAGAAAAACAAAACACAGCTTTGCAGCCCTTGTCTGGACCATGTTCCTGCTTCAACTACCAAGTTAAACAGTCTAATCCAGTAAGTCTCATTGTGCCACCTGAATCTGACCAATGAACTACTACTCACAGTCCAGTCATATGTAAGTACCAACCAATCAGGAATATTTCTGCATTTGCATAAAGCTGGCCAATCAGAACTGAGTATGCTTGATCCATCATTTGCATAAGTAAAAATTTGGTCAAGGTCTTTTTCTACACAAGCTAACCACACACCCCACCCTTATTCGTTTGGAACACACTCTCAGTTTGTCCCAAACCCTGCCTATTCCTGGTTTGCAAACTTTTTTTCTTTTCTTTCCTTTTCTTCAGAAAGCCTCCCCTTTTTTTAAATTATTTTACAGTGAAAACTTGACACCTGGCATGTAGACTGCATATGGGAAACATGTAAATAAATTAACATGGTCACTCAGAGCTATTTATATCTTTTAAACCTCTTAAATCCTTAAGTTAGAATATAAGAGAAAATTGTCTTTTCATATTTTCCATAGCATGCTATAAAGCAAAATGATAGGTCATAGACGTAAGAATGTATAAAATAACATGAGACTACAATCAGAAGGGTTAACTGAAGTAGGCCAATTCACAAACTGTATCCATAAGATCCCCATCAAAAATTTTTTGGCTTAAATTTCATGTGTACATGAAGATGGAAGAGAGGTAAGATTCTGTTAAGGAAGGGAGCAAAGTTTCACAGTCAAAGGGTGGGAAGATTGCCAATTAGGAGCTTATTCCTACAGAGTATTATGTCTTGTAGGGCAACTGTTGTCAAGAGAACTGTTGGTTAGAAATGCTCCCAGGAGCTATTTTCTGGAAATCAGCAGAAAGACTAATTATCAGCAACTTCTCTACCCAGGGATAAGCATATTCTTCCCCATCCCATTTTGATGCCTCAGTCTCCACAGCCCCTGAATCCTTATTTCTCTGAATTTTGAAACAATTCCTTGATCATGTATCCAATAAGTACATGGTTTGGTTACCGAGCTGCTATTTAAGTGTGTGGAGCAATGCTTCTTCTGAAAGTACCTTTAATGTATTTTTTGTTTTGTGTTCAGTTTGGTGTGGGCAAGTAGAGATGTTGTGCGGGGACTACAAATACAGTAAGAAAACACAATCACACTATCCTGGGGGATAGAAACTCCTCCATTTTAAGGAAAGTACTGCATACAGCATAGAAGAATTTAAATTTTTGTGGGTTTGCTTTTCAATCTTTATGCCACACCCAGTTGCCCTCCAAAATAACATGGCTAATGACATAAGAATGGAGAGAGAGGGCCAGGGATTTAGCTCAGTGGTTCTGCTGCCTGCCTTGAAAGCGCAAGGACCGGAGTTCGATTCCCGGTACCAAAAAAAAAAACAAAAAACAAAGAATGGAGAGAGAAGAGCTAGGCTAGCTAGATTTTAAAAATAGAGGGAAGGGTTAGGGATGTAGCTCAGTGGCAAAGCACTTGCCCAGTATGTGTGAGGCCCTGGGTTCATCCTCAATAATGCAAACATAAGTAATAAACAATTTAAAAGAGAAAGGAAATGGGGTTATATTCCTTTCGGCTTATCCCAGTTCCACTCTGTTGACTAACAGGACTGTTAACTTCTGAGCTTTAGGGGAGAAAACTGAAGTTAACTTAGGAATGGTTTTAATCAAAAGTCAAGTGCTATTCATAGCTAGCTATTCCCTTTATCTGTACTATATTTATTTATAATTCCAACATGTCTAATTGATACATTTTCCAAAACACAGCTTGACAACACAGATCTTTCATAGAGGGGGAAGCAGAAAAGAATTAAAAGTATACAATTCTTCCTATAGAAAGAAAAGATCTATCTAGCACTGATTTTTTTTTTTTAACTACCACAGGAACAAACTTAAATTTTTTTTAAAAATTCAATAAGGAAGGTTCATAAGCAACACCATAACCAGAGAATTTTCTTTCAGATGGAAAGAATCAAGAAGTTCTCAGAATATTTTATGATTTATTCTGCAGATCCTGAAGGGAAACTGAGGGAAACCATGAGTAGGGAAGAGGAAAAAGAAAAACAGGCAAATACAGAATGTTTTTGTAACGGTACTGGGAATTAAGGCCAGGGCTTTTGCCCTGCACCACATCCCCAGGTCCCCTCATCATCTTTTTGTTTTTATTTTGAGATAGAATCTCTATAAATTGCTCAGGTTGTGCTTGAACTTGCAATCCTCCTGCCTCAGCCTCCCAAGTAGCTGGGATTACAGGGGTTGGTGCCATCTTGCTCAGCTATAGTTTATTATTTACTACCACATTTTGACCTCAGCTTCTGTCCATTTTTCCTGTCTTTGAAAACTTCATCAGTTCACTGTCTGAACTGCAGCACATACGTCGTAGAAGGCTAACAAGAGATGAGGTGCAGTTAACAACAACCAAACAAATGGAATTAAACTGCTTGGGTGAAGACTGCTCTCAGTTTTCAAATCCTGGCATCAGTACCAGGGAACCAACCAGATCTTCACCTTTCTTAAGAGAAATTTACATAAGAGAATCCTTACATATCTGGTTTCAGATGCATACTCATCACAAACCCTGTCACACACATACCACGTACCTGAGAAGATCAGTGATACTCTGGCTTGAATGTGATAATCCAGCTGTACTGATATTCATTATAAATAATAAACATGCCTTTTGAATTACTGTTTTACATTATTAACTCTTGGTGAATGGGAACTGAGGAAGAAAGCAGACGATGCTGCTACACAACAATTTAGTACATTAATGAGTTAGGAACGCACTGAAATGGCACTTTAGGGCCCATGGAAACCAATGACCTGTGGGAACAGCATTTTGCCCTGTGGAGTTGCTTGCAAAGGAATGCCTATAATCAGCAAAGTCAGAAATACTGACTTAGAGCCTCTTCAAAATCATTACTGATGGGCTGAGGATGTGGCTCAATGGAAGAGCACTTACCCTAGTCCTGGGTTCTATCCCTAGAATCATGAAAAACTTTTTTAAAAAATTTAATCTTAAGTTCATAGCTGATTAGACCAGACTAGAAAAGACTTCAGTGGCCATCTGTTCGGTAAAGGAGGTCTGGCAAATATATGTAATACTGTAGAAATAGATTTACTGATCCACTGAATGGCCCAGGGGAGAAAGGTCTGCATCATGTGTTGTTTTGAAATTATACACTAACCAATCAGGCAGACACACATCCCCACTGCTGTGTTAACTGCAATCTCTCTCACAGACAGAAGTGAATTCTCCTACTTACATCAAATGGAGCAGAACTTGACTGAGCATTCTGATTGCATGGTTCCCTGAAGCAGTCACTAAAAGGAAGTAGAAGACCCATGGCAATGATCCGGGAGCAAAACTTCTCTGCTTCTTCTGGAGGCCCGTTCTCTTGCTGGCTGAACAGTTTCTCCAACAGAGTCCGCCCTGCAGAGGAAACACAGTCATTAGAAGGGAGAACTGGTGGATCACCTGGCTGCGAACTCTCCAGGGAGCAGAGGGTAAACACAAGCAACGAGCAGCTCTGTTTCCAAGGCTACTGACATGTGCAGAAAGGGCCCTCTCCAACCAGGGAAAACTGCAATCTGGGGCTGAAGACACCTCGTAGGAAAGGGCACAGGGTATTGTTGTTGCAGCCCCCCAAAATACCTCCTGTCTCTCAAGAGAATGGGCCAGGTTACCAGCTGTACCTCCTCCACCTGATGAGGAAGGCCCCTCCCTTTTGGATTTAATTAGCAATTCTCCTTTTTTGTTGTTTACCCTGCAGAAGGTTCTCTAAGGCAACAGTAACCCAATGTGCCACCATTTGGGCCTAGAAATGTCAGTGACTGACATTCACAGACTTGGGTTTAGCAATAGGGGAGGACAGGGAATGTGACAACCAGACAGACAAAGGCACCGATCCATGAGAAGGGCAGAGAGTTGGTCAGTGACCAAGTCATCCTGAAGGGAGAGAAAGCCAGAAGTTCAATGTGTTTTCAGATGCTCCTCAGGACCCCAACTCTTTATTATTTTGCTAAAAGAGACCCACAAGAAGGGAAGCACAATGAGAAGACACTGGCTGAGGACCTTAGAGGACCCGGGTCTCCTTAGTCCAGGGTTCTCAATCCCGGCTGTGCCTTAGAATCATCTGGAAGAACAGAGTCACCGGAACCCTGGCCATCACTGCCTTACTGGTCACCACTGATTCTAGCCAGGGGTGAGAACCACGGGGCTCCCTCACGTATTTTTGACACTCTTAGTTCTCTAACCTTCATGCATTAATGTAACTTTTTCTGTATGTATGAACTATGACAGAGACAATAGAAAAGTGTTTAGCTGTTCCTGAGTTCTTACCTGATGCTCCTCCATCTAACTGATGGATTCAACTTGAGGTCAGATCACTTGCATAGAAAATCCCTCAATGATTTCCTTTCATACTCTTTTGGAACCCTTTATACATACTCCTTTCTATAATAACATTTCTTTTTTGTATTACGTGCTGCCGAAGCGAGCACAGCATTTCTTTTTTTGTGTTGTCCAGTTGTTCTCCAGTTCCTAGGTTGAAATGAGCCTCTTAGAGGTACCTCAGCCTCCCAAGGAGCTGGGACCAAAAGGCATGGACCACTGTGCCCAGCATTTTTGTAATTAACCATGTTAACTGTTTAATTGGTTGTGCAGTCTTTTTTTAATGTCAGCCTCCTTCACTAAAACACAAACTAATGGCCAGCATATATATAGTCTGCAAACCTGGCCAACTGCACAGAAAAAGCATTGATAAATTTGCGGGATTTCTGAACTGACATGATGTTATCATTCTATGACACAGATTCATTCGCAACATGGACAGAACTGGAAATGAAATTTCAGACTACATCATCACATTCTTTCTGTAAAGGGCCAAATAGTAAATATTTTTGGCTTTGTGAGCCACATAAGGTTGCAGTTGCATATTCTCGGGTTTCATTTTGCTTTAAAATACCTTTGAATACATAGAATTCATTCTTTGCTCCAAGCTGCCCAAAACCAGGCACAGATCTATACTTTGGTGACAACAACTAAAACTCAAAACATAATAAATGTATAATTTTGTCAACACACTAGTCATGTCAATAGTCATGAAATCTTCCTGTCTCTCTCTATTTCTGCCAGTAAAACAAAACTAATCTAAAACTCTGCCTTTAATATGTGTAGTAAGGGCCGGGGATGCAGCTCAGTGGTAAAGCACATGCTTGGCATGCAGGAGACCTTAGCTCCAATCCCAGGCACAAAAACAAAAATTGGAATGACAAAGTAGGACAAAAGAGGTCTCTTTATTTTCTCCATTTCTTTAGGTCATTAGAGAGCACTCTTTGGTCTTCCAAGTCATTTTTTGAGAGGCAGTAAAAGATTTTTCCCCAACAGAACTGAAGTTTACCTGTATGATACGTAACTAGAACTAAATATCCAGGAAACCACACCCCTCAATTCTCAAGTGATTAATTATCCTAACAGTATATCCATTGTACACATATAACCAAAAGACAGAAAACAGCCCTAATAATACTCTAGTTCTTTCCTACAATTCACACACTGTGTAACAAAAATATAAAGGAAATGGGGTCTGGTATACCTGTGAGTAAATGTGATGGAGTGAATGTGTATGTGTACATTGAGCCAAAAATTACCAAAGGTTATGGAATAATGTGGAAGAGAGAACTATGACCCGCTGGAACTCCAGTTCTTGGACGAGAAAATATCTCTAAAGCTGTTGTCCAGGGTTTCCCTGCCATGACACTACTGACACCTTGAACCTGCTAGTTCTGTGCTGTGTGAGAGGGGTCCACCTGTCACTAGGCAGCATCCACAGTCACCACAAGGCCAGCAGCACAATCACCAACTCCCAGTTGTAAAAGCCAAAAATGTCTCCAGCCAATGTCCCCCAGAAAGCAAATAGCCCCAGGTTGAGAAGCCCACCCTCACCTCTTTCTAAAGGGAATGTCACCACCTTGCATCAAGAGTAAACTGGCTGACTCATGAGGACTTCCTGGTCCTTTGGTCCTCTCAGGTGAAGGCATTTTATTTAAAAGCTGAATATTTAAGGGACAGAAAGTTAGTGGGAAACTCCCTTAATCCCCAAGAACACTTCCACATGATTATTGTCCTTCAGAGCCATGAGCTCCTTTGAAAACTCCTGCCACTGATTAGGTCACTTGCTACCCCTCTTCCTTTCGGCCATCTACAGAATTCTTTTCATTCCCTCCTCACCCCTGCTGTTCACTGAATACTTCATCCTTCAACTCCTGACTCATTGCCCTACCTTCCTCATGCCTCTCTAGCATTAGCACTGGTTTTGACATCATGTGATCCAACACTGAGATAGAAACTTCATCTGAAATCATGGTTCCCTGTCTCCAGCTAGCATTTCCTCCACCACCACCCCATTCCCATGGCATACAGTCATCATCATCAGGAGCTCCACTACCTCCAGGAGATGAATTCCAAAATTTACTCCAGCCCCTCCCCCAGTGGCTTCCAATCATCCTCTGGGTAAAAGCAAACTCCTCTCTGCTTCTCTCCTTCCCTCTGCCCTCTCCCCACTCTGTCTGTCTGCTCTTGCCCACAAGCTTCCCTTCTTCTTTGGCCAAACTGAGCTCACTCTCCTCTCTCCAAGACTTTGGCTCCAGAACTCTCTTCCCCCATACACTTGAATGAGTCATTCCATCTCATTGAGTCCTCTGCTCAATTGTCACTCCCACTGACAGAATTTCCTGACTGCCCTTTCTAAAATAACACATCCTGTTGATCTTTTTTCCCCGTTGTTCACCTATTCCTCCTCAGAGAGCTTAGCCCTTGAATTTAGGTAACACTGTGGTCTGTCTCTTGGTAGAATACAAACTCCATCTCAGCAGACTTTGCTGTTTACCACCTTTTGCCCAAGAACTCAAGGAGTGTTGGCAAAGAGGGAATGATACATTATATTTTCTTAAATGTCAATGAATCAAGATAAGTACAAATGCCTGGATGAAACATCTAACCCTTAACTGTAACCTTTTATCCTTTAAGCTCTTATTCTAAAACCTGTCTAAAGCTCCTTCCCCCACACAGACCTCAAACCCGTCATCTCTACCATGGCTGACCTTGAACTAATTGTGGCTATTCCTGTCACATGATGTATCATCCCCATATCCGGTCTTCACTTCCTTCCTTACCAGTCTAAGTCCCACGCTCCACCGCTATAATTAAATCCTACCATCAAAGTTCAGCTCCCTCCCCTCTCCCTCCATCATATTTGCCTCACAAAACCACAACTTATTTCAGGCTACCCAGCCACTTTTTCTTTGCCTGCACCTGAGCAAGTGAACACAGTAGAAGATACACATATCATCTGTTTTCAGTACCTTCATCAAACATAACACTGCTCTGCATTCTTATCTAAGCCTCCACTCTCCGGTAGTACAAGTATTATACATTCTCCAATAAACTCAAGTTTTACACATTCTGCCAGCCCACCCCTTCCAATGATAAGACAATGATCTTCTCTAATTTATCAAGAAAAATAGAAGAATCTAAGACAAACTGTAAGTACCTGCATCCACCCTCTTCCCTTCCTTGCAGTGCAAATGCGCCCTAAAACAAAAGCAAGTTCTCCCCACCCCCTTCCTAATGGAATTCTTTGTGGCATGCTCAGAACTTCGCTTCTTTAACCACACACTCTCTCTCCTGGACCAGGAACACTTCCCTCTTTATAGAGATTCCCAGTATCACACAAACACGCTTTAAAATATATCTCAGTCTGGGGATGCAGTTCAGTGGTAGAGTGCTTGCCTAGTATGTGTGAAGCCCTGTGTTCAGTACCTAGTACTGAAAAACTAATTTTTCTTAGGTCTACATGGCTCCTCACTCCACTGTCTCATTTCTTGGTTTCCTTCACATCAAAACTGCTAGCTGAAATTATCTACTCTTGCTATCTTCACCCACTCACTCCTGGCTCAGCTCATTCTAATTTGACTTCCATCCATATCATCCAACAGAGACTGGTAAGCAACTTGGTACCAATGATATTTGTCTTCACCTTACTCCGTTTCTTAATCACTAGTAAAATTTTCACTGTTATAGTCTCCTACTCCTTAAAACACTTGCTCATCTTCAGGATACTCATTTCTATTTTTTCTACCTTGCTAACCATTTTCTCTCTAGTTTCTCACTAGTTCTCTTTGCTAGATTGTCAACCCAACAATTTCATGTTTCCTGGCTCATTCTATGGCTTACTCTCTCAACTCTTTCCATATTCTTGACTATAATCTCACCAATGTATAAATACTCCTCTCCTTGAAATTGGGTATGATTTTGTGACTACCTCAACTAAAAGTGTATGCACAAGTGCCACCATATCTGGACAGAATGCCTGGGGTAACCACTAAAGACTCTAACTACATTATAGAAGTTAGAGAACTGAAGACAAAGAT